TCTCCTGCCTGTAAGCCCCGCCCGTCCGCCGAGCCGCAGGGCTGGGGAGGGAGGGAAAGGCCAGAATTTGGCTGCCGGGGACAGAGACGGTTGGCCCCAGCCAATAACAATAAGGATGCGAGGAGAGTGACTCCTGTCTAAAAATACCCCTCCCCGCTTGGCAAGAGCAGGTGGATGCAGGGGGAGGCGTCAAGGTCGCCAGCCGGAGCAGAGAAAGCCCTGCGTTTGGGGGCGGGCGCCCACCCTTCACCCCACGGATCCCACGCCCATCCAGCTCCGAGCGGGACCCTAAAGCTCAGCCGGCAGCGGGGGTTGTGAGCCTCCCCCAACAGCTACGGCCCATCTCCTTTTCAAGCGTCTTCCCCGTCGGCTCCCCTGAGCCGGTCCCGGGTGAGTCCCACGGCCAACTGGCAGCGGGCCCCATGCCCCAGCCCGGGCCGGGTGCCGGGCAGGAAGTGGTCTGGCCCCCCGCTCTAGACGAAGACCCAGAACCGAGCTCCACAGCTGGCAGGTAAGGGGTAAGGAGGCAGGTAATCGGCGCCGGCCGTGCGTTCCGGGGATCGGTGCGGAGGGAGGGGGGATCGTCAGCGACTTTTCTCCCCCCACGCTTGGCTTTGCATTCTGGGGCTGGTCAGTGTGGTGGAAACCAAGGGCCTGTTCGCTGGTAGGTGTTTGTGGCTCCCTCCCCGTGTCCTGGGGCTCAGGTTGAATCTCAACTTTCCTTGCACAGGCAGAGGGGAGGGGTGGATTTTCCTGGCTGGGGGGGAAAGCTTGGAAACGTGCCCCTAAGAGACTCAGAATCCAGCCGGCGAATAAACGGAGCCTCGGATTAATTGGGGGAGGGGAGCATCTCAAGGGTTTTACGCTGATCTGGTTCTCGAGGTGGGCCTGGCCCGATCTGCAGGACACAGCACGCGGCAGGTGCTGCAGAGAACAATGGCGGATTCCCCCTTCCCGGTGGAGAACGGCGGGAGACACGTGGTCACAGCACACCTGGCCACGACAGAGACCCCGATCCTGGACTGAGCAGCCTGCTCATGTAGCCAGTCCAGGGCTGGCTGCCGGATGGACTGAACCGAAGGTGCTGGGGAGCCAGCTGAAAACAGCAGCCCCTTGGGTACCGGCTCTGTACCTGTGGAGCCGCAAAATAGAATCAGAGAATCATAGAACGCTAGAACTAGGAGGGACCTCGGGTCATTGAGTCCCGTCCCCTGCGCACACGGCAGGACCCAGCCCTGTCTAGCCCATCCCTGACAGGTGTCTGTCCAACCTGCTCTTCAATCTCTCCAGAGATGGAGATTCCACAACCTCCCTAGGCAATTTATTCCTGTGTTTCACCACCCTGACAGGAACTTTTTCCTAATGTCCAACCTAAACCTCCCTTGCTGCAATTTAAGCCCATTGCTTCTTGTTCTATCCTCAGAGACCAAGAAGAACAATTTTTCTCCCTCCTCCTTTTAACACCCTATTCGATAGATACTTAAAAACGGCTCTCATGTCCCCTCTCAGTCTTCTCTTTTCTAAACAAAACAAACCCAACTCTTTCATTCTTCCCTCCTAGCTCATGGGCTCTAGACCTTTCATCCTTTTTGTTGCTCTTCTCTGGACCGTCTCCAATTTCCCCACATCTTTCCTGAAATGTGGGGCCCAGAACTGGACACAAGACTCCAACAGAGGCCTACTCAGCGCAGAGCAGAGCGGAAGAAGGACTTCTCGTATCTTGCTCACAACACTCCTGTCCATGCAGCCCAGAATCACGTTTGCTTTTTTTGCAACAGCATCGCACTGTTGACTCCTATTTAGCTCGAGGTCCACTCTGACCCCTAGATCCCTTTCTGCAGGACTCCTTCCTAGACAGTCGCTTCCCACTCTGCATGTGTGACACGGCTTGTTCCTTCCTAAGTGGAGTCCTTTGCATTTGTCCTTATTAAACTTCATCCTATTGACCTCAGCCCATTTCTCCAATTTGTCCAGATCATTTTGAATTATGACCCTGTCCTCCAAAGCAGTTGCAACCCCTCCCAGCTTGGTATCATCTGCAAACTTAATAATCCTATTCTCTATGCCAATATCTGAATCGTTGATGAAGATATTGAACAGAACCAGTCCCAAAACAGACCCCTACGGAACCCCCCTTGTTCTGCCCTTCCAGCAGGATTGTGAACCGTTAATAACGACTCTCAGAACGGTTCTGCAGCCAGTTATGCACCCGCCTTATAGTAGCTCCATTTAGGTTTCATTGCCCTAGTTTATTGATAAGAAGGCCACGTGAGACGGTGACAGAAAAAAGCCGTATCCTAACAGCTGGACTGGAAGCAAGGAGTTTTGATTCTTGGCCTGCCTCTCTGCTGCTGCCTTCACCATATTTGGCACTGCAATCACCAGCTGCTGGAATCCTGTGGTTACCCAAGACTCGCGGCTTCTATTAAAGACAGACCAGCAAGGTTCTGACTCTGCTGGTTATGGGAAAAAGCCTGAAAACAGGTGGCAAATTAAAAGAACCGAACACACGCTGATTTGGGGCCGTTTAAAGTCCATCTCAGAGGTTTGTTCTTGGATTTCTAGTATTTCAGGCCAGCAGGGGCCAATGGATCCTCTCGTCTGACCTCCTGTGTGTTACAGGCCCGAAAGTTCCCTCTTGCTGCCCCCATCCAGGGCCGACTTATCCATTAGGCACAGTAGGCACAGTGCCTAGGGCCCACGATACTTTTAGGGGCCCACGAAAATGTTTTAATTTCTTTTAAATTCAGGAGAAAAAAATGAACTTTTAGGGCTGAAGAAAATGTTTTCATTTTTTTCTCACATCAGAAAAAAATGAAACTTTTAGGGCCCACGAACATCTATTACGTTTTGCCTAAAACAGAAAAAAAATGTTGAAGTATTTAAAGTTATAGCAAAAATTATTTTTAATATTGATATTATTATGGTGGGAGGGGCCCACGGAAGTCATAATGCGGCCCTACCCCCATCGTGAGCCAAACGACTTGTGTTTGGCGAAAGCATCTTTCAGACCAGCTCCAGGGTGGATCTGAAGTCCACATGGCATGGGGACTGGACCCTTCCCTTCCCTAAGAATTTGTCTCAGCCGTTAGTCACCCGCTCCATTAAAAATCAGGGCATTATTTCTAATCAGGCTTTGCCGTGGCGTCGTTAGATCTTGTTCAGGCTACATAGTGCTTTACACCCCCGATTTTCTCCCCGTGGAGGTTTTCTGCTGTAGAATTCTCCAAGGCAGCCGTCCTGACCCTGCGTTCCCATGCTGCCTGCTTGGTTTTTATCCTCTCCCACCCTCCCGGGATCCTGCCCTCGTCTCCTAGGCAGGAAACAACCAAAGGATCATAAATAAATCGCCGGCACGGAACCTTTTGACCGTCCAAATCTATTTTTAGCAGCAGCCTCTGCAGCAGCTGCTCTGTCGGACCCCAGAGTTCCCCGAGGGGCGAGGGCTGTTTTCCACCTACCCAAGGTCCAGGAATGTTTTGGATGGATTTGCACCTCAGCCAGCATTTGACAGACGCACTTGTGGGATCGTTTAACTCAGGGGCGGGGAAACTTTTTCGGGTCAGGGGCTGCCGACCCACAGAAAAATCAGTGGGGTCATGAGTAAGTGAGAAGGGGAAAAAAAGTGGCTTTCAACTAAGAAGGCGGAAGACATGCCCCACATCCAAGCCTAGGGGGGCCTGAGCTAGTAGATTTTTGGGGCTCCCCAGGCTCTGGGGTGGGACCAAAAATGAGAAGGTAAGAGTGTGTGAGGGGAGGCAGGCTTGGAGCGTGGGTAAAGGTAGAATGGATCTGAAAAGGCAAGCACAGTTAACCTGTGGAACTCCTTGACAAAGGATGCTGTGAAGGCCAGGACTTTAACAGGG